GCCAGCCTGGTCTCCAAAGCGAGTTCCAGGAAAGGCGCAAAGCTACACAGAGAAACCCTGTCTCGAAAAACCAAAAAAAAAAAAAAAAAATTAAGGTTTGTAAAGGACTTAACAAATATCCTGCTATGAAGCAGGCTCTCAGGAAGTGCTGTGTCACATTCATTTACATATTGCTCACATTCCCCTTTCTTCAGGGAGAGCCAAGACTCAAAGTTGGGTCTTTCTGGTGGGTCCTTCCCTATTAGCAGTACCGATGTATGTTTCAGGTTGACTGTATTGACTGTCTCTCATAAGATTCTATGAATTATTAAGTGGCCCCTATATAAAATGATTTTGAAAATATCTAGAAATTAAACATGCAAGAAAAGTGGTTCTAATATTTTAGAAAGAAAATGCATTCTTTAGATTTTAATTATCATTATTATGATTTTATTTTTTGAGATAGGTAGAATAGAAATTTTTTTTTTTAATTTAAGGTGGTAAAAATGCTATTGCTATACAACAGAACTCTGGATGACTTAATGTCATATTTATAACTCTTCCTCCCAGAACATGAAAGACCTGCTAAAGCTCTAGGTGTTCCTCTTGGCCCAATACTTAGGAGTTACTCATTTCCCTGGTTCTGGAAAGGAAAGCCATGTGTAGGATTCACCTTCTACCAGGAATTGACTTCAAAGACTATGAATCAAACTCAAGAAAAAGTCCAGCCAGTGCTGAAACTCCTCTTTATAGAGGAAGGGGTACTTCCTGCTTTTAAGGGAACTCAATATGAAGCATAGGAGTGGTCCACTTCCGGTCCTGGCAAGCATCCCATCGCTCAGAGCATCTGTGGATCCACTGGCTAGCAGCAGCTACATGTGTGTATGTGTGCACAAGTACACTCACATGCAGGCACACTCACACTTATGTCCACACACACACACAACACAAGGCAGCTACATTTGCTTCATTTCTTTACTCTGGCTGAAAGGCTTAAGGCATTTTCCTGAATACATTATATCCAGAACTTGGTAACACCTTAGAGTTATTAGAGAAATCATTTTGACCCAGAGAGAAAGCATATGCATGAAGGGCCTTATTTGCAAGGTGGTAGCCACAAATATACCACCAGGCTGTGGGGTCAAGCCCACCAAAAGTATGGCTCAGGCTTCATAAAGAACAAATAGTTACATGAGCCCTTCACTGTCTAAACATTCCTCTTCAAGCATCCATCCTCTCCCCGCCCCCCCCCCTTTCTGTGTGTGTGTGTGTGTGTGTGTGTGTGTGTGTGTGTGTGTGTGTGTGTGCTCATGTTCATGTGTGTGAATGTGGAGCTATACCATAAGATACAGAGGGGGATCAGAGGACAACAACAGATGTGGGTCCTCATCTTTCCCCTTGTTTGAGACAGAGTGTCTTCGCCGTGGTCTAGGCTAGTCTAGCTGGTTCATAGGCTTTGGGAGTGGGGGGCAGTTCTCCTATTTTAGGCTCCCATCTCACTTGCGTGCTCTGGGATTGCAGACATATGTTGCTAGACCCAACTTTACACGGATTCTGGGGATCTGAACTCAGTTTCTTATGTTTGCATGGCAAGTGTGGTACCCGCTAAGCAGTGTCTTGAGCCCCACTTGTCTCTTTGGGTTTTGGTTTTTCTATACAGATACATCATCCGATCACAGTGTGTCTCAGACTGACTGACTGAGCCAGAAAGCGTTTGGTGAAGAAACTGCTGTGGTATTGAGTCAGAATGCCGATGCCAAATGTGGAACTTTTATGTGGATTAGGATGTTTCAGCAAGAGAGGGAGGGAGGGAGAGAGAGAGAGAGAGAGAGAGAGAGAGAGAGAGAGAGAGAGAGAGGAGAAGAAGGAGGAGAGGAATGAAGGAGGGAGGGAAGAAAGCAAGGAAGGAAAGAAGGAAGGAAGGAAGGAAGGAAGGGAGAAAGGAAGGAAGGAAGGAAGGAAGGAAGGAAGGAAGGAAGGAAGAAGGAAGGGAGAAAGAAAGAAAGAAAAAACTTTCTTGTCAGATTCACCCCTCCCTCTCTCCTCAGAAAACCTGCAGCCTGGGTTGCCCAGCCTTTGTCTCCCAATCAGTACTTTTTGTAGCATCCTGAAACATCTCAGGGGGCAAGCATTTATTACATGTCTACTATATTTCCTATACTGCACAGACATGCTCAGAGAGGAGAGAGAAATTAGCCACTTCTCCAGCAGGCAGACTCTTGGCAAATATTTCTGAGGTAAATCAGGATTTATTTGAAGCTTAAGATGAGGATGTGGGCTCCAGATGGCACTTGTGTGAGTATAAACTTTTAAGTAAAACATGACTGACCTCAGAGTGTAAGGAGCACGTTTTTGCAAATTATTAGACCATCTGTCATTTGAGGACATCTGAATAATGCCTTCCATAGGAAATTGGAGGAAATTATATGCCTGTTTTTGAAGGTCTCATTTCTGACAGAATATGCTCATGAGGCATTTCATTGATTTCAGAGGGCAGACCCTCAGGGTATCTAAAAGGTGTGCTGAAATCCTCAGAACCTCATGATTCCCTTCAACAGCCATGATCAATCACTGCATTAAAACAATAAATAAATAGAAGAATATTTCCATGTGTTGGCATGCAAAGATATTTACAATGGTCTGCTTAGTGCCTGGAACTTGGATATTCCCAGACTTGCTGGTGTTCTATTTGGAAGGATCTGAGGCCATTGAGAGAGAGAGGGGGGGGGGGGGATGTATTCTGAGGACTTTAAAATTGGCAGTCATGTCTCTTAAGGCCTGGATTTATACTCAAAAGCATCATCTTTCCTGTGTTTCTTCTGTGATACCTCCTTCTTCATCTCCTCCCTGGATGATTCTTTCACTGTGCAAGATTCTCTTAGGCAAATCTTATTCACCCAGGCAGGCATCGCTTGAGTCTCTAGATGGCAGCCCCACTGCGATCATGGGAGCATATATCTGCTAGGATCTGAGGACTGTTAGGGGATAGTGTTAATCATCCCTGTACCTCACTGACACACACGATAGAGTCTGAAGCAGCTGTGATGGGATGAACTGGAAAATGGAGATTTGTCTAAGACACTAATGCTGTTCTCATTTGTGTGTGCACATGTGTGTGTGTGTGTCAAAGAAGAACAATGATATATACTTAATGATTACCTGAAAAGTGTTTTGAAATAAAATTCAAACATCACCTGGCATAGTTCTTAAATGTCTATATTGGGAAGTGGTACAGTAATATTAGTGTAGGTGTACTATGAGATTATAAGCATATTTTATGGACCTCCTTTATCTATTTATTATTATGGGTGGGGGCCACATGCATTCCTCAGCATGAATGTGGAGGTCAGGGGACAATTTTGGATTACCTTTCTTCTTCCGGGAACCAAACTCAGGTTGTCAGTCTCCAAGGCTCTTCCACCCACAGAGTCTTCTTGCCAGGCCCTCATGTGACGTGTTTATGAACAGCCAATGGAGTGGTTCAAAGTGTAGTTTTATGGATCGGAATGGTTGGGTTGGGTCCCATGACCTTGTACAAATAACCTATGCTGTCTCTAGATTTCAACATTATCACTGTAACTGGGGACATCTTTAGCTCATGAAATTATTATTTCGGTGGAATCAGTGTAAGTGAACTGCCCAGCTTAGCACATGGCCCAGAGTCACTGCTCAATAAATATTAGCTATTTTCATTATCAAGCAGTAATCTGCGGTGGCATTTGGGAATCAAATAGGTTTTAAATCAAAATATATAGCTTTGTTCAACTCAACAAACTTCTCACTCGTGTTTATTGTGTTGAGTAGTATGCTGTGTGCGGGATGATGAACTTGGGATGACGGATGGTCTTCTCATTGAAGTCTCAGATATCATGGAAATATATCATGGAAAACCAAACAGAAGCAAGTAATTAACATAGGGTATCTATGTGCTGTTTCTAGAGTCGTAAACAAGATGTTGTGACAGACATGCCAAACAGATATGTTGTTAATTATGGTTGAGACTGACTGCCTTAGAATGATGTTGAGAAGAGGTCTGTGATCAATTAATAATTTTTAATAATTAATAAGGCAGGAAACTTAAGGGTTCTAGTACTATATACAGATCTATTGAGAAACAGATAACAGAAAAAACATCCAAAAAGAACAGACATTTCCAAGATGGTAGTTCATATTCTTGGGTGAGTAAAGAACGGTAAAGAGATAAAGTGAGGCCCGGTAGAAATAATTTGATCAGTGATTCATCATGGATTGGACAGCTCCAAACTAGAAGCGGCGCGGAAGTCCTTAGAAGGGAATGTAAACTGAGGATTTTGCAGGACAAACACAGAAGTAAAACAGAGAAAATCTTTGGTTACAGTCATATAGCTGTTGTAATTGGTCTACCTCATTGGAAAGTCCCTAGTTATATAATTGTGAGTTTGTTTGTTGCTTCTGATTCATTGAGCGTAAGTTCTCTTCCTGGTTTTCTTATAATATAAGCATTTATAAGGAACAGATCACTCTGCATAAGTAATCAAGGTTGTGGCCAAGAGTGTAGCTCCATGGTAGAGCTCATGCTTAGCATGTTCAAAGCCCTAGGTTCAATCCAGCAGAAACAACAACAGAGCCATCAACAAAAAAGCAGCAAGTTTGAGCTTTGTCTGCTGAGAGAGGCTTCAGGCCTTGTTTACATTGGCATTTACTTTAGCAGGGATCATATCAGATCCTGGGTCTGTTTTACTGCTTATTTGCTCGATTGCTTGAGTCAGCTAACTCGAGCTAGGTAGGCCCTGCTATGTTGCCCCTACTCATCTTGAACTCATGGGACTCAAGAAAATTCTCCTGCCCCTCCTGCCTTCCGAATAACTGGGGATACGGGAGGGAGTGTACCACCCTGCTCACCTGTGAGCTCCAATTGGCACTTGCTGCCTTTGTTTTGTACAAGTTGCTAAGCATTTCTGAACCTCATTGATCACCAAGGCAACCCAGAGATGCTTATTGTGTGGATTACATGCAAATACTTGGCAATGGACTTGGCTCTGAAAAGGTGCTTAACAAATGATATTAATCATTGCTACCGTGATCAAGGACTTCCTAAACCACTTTGGAATCATGATGTTGCCACTTTATTTTCTGCTCACTCAAATCAAAGACTCAACCCCATTTAATATTAAACTGATAAGAACAGATACTACATTTGATTTTAGCAAAAATGCTGAGAAGCGATTCAACCCCGTTTGAAATTCAGGAAAATGGCTCAATTTTTATCTCATCCAAACCACAGCTCCCTCTATTGTCGTTGTCCTCAGTTGCCTTCCAGAAACTGAAGACATTATTGCTAAAGACATCACACATGTTGGGTGGAGGACTTGGAGCTGGAACTGACCAGAAGCCTCTACTCTGAGGATTAGCTCTTACAGTACCAGAAGGAGCTATATAAGCTGCCAAGGGAGAAATGTTTCACTGTGCTGTGACACCCACAAATCCCAATGACCAGAATGACAAGATATCCCAAAAGGTGAGTTAGTGGTCCTTCTATCCTAGGGTAACAATAGTCATCTAACTGGATGTCAGGACTGCTCAGTAGGATGGAATTCATTCCTAGTACTGTATATCTAGCCACTACCCTTGGCTGGAGAGGTATGGACCCTAGAGGACAGCCACTACTGCCGCTTCCTAAACCACTATAATTTAAAGTTCCATTCTAAAGACTTAAACCTAGAGATTAGTATAGCAGGCAGAAAACCGTTACAGGAAGGCACAACCGTTCAAAATCCAGAGAAGAGCTGACCACGGGTTATCCAACTCCATTTGACAGACGTCTTCTACATAAGACAGGGAGGCTGCACCTGGGAAATCTTAGCAACCTGGTCACCTAAACAAGACCTGAACAATGACGACACCAATTGATGAGCAAACACAGATGGGGGAAATCTCACAGAACCCTACCTTTAGAAGAGCTGCAGGCAATTAGTAGGTGCTGAGAGTAGAAGAAAGAGTCTTCTCCAGGGAAGAGCCCCGTGATAGAATATCCAATCCCAAGCGCTCAGCCCTAAGCACACATATATGAGCAATACTAGATGAGCTCATCAGTTGTATTTCTGAATATGTGTGTGAATATATTCACATGTGTGCAATGATAATAACTGAAGAATATGAGGCTGTGGATTTGAGGAGGAATGGAAGGGTCATGGGAAAACGTGAAAGGAGGAGAAAGAGGGGAAATGATATGAATATAGTAAGCGAATTAAAAAAAATAATTGGGTCCCAAAGAGGAGACCTGGAGAGAGAACTGGGCAAACCTACCTGCTTTCCAGTACAAAGGTTAGTGTCCAATAGTTCTCCTTTCAATGACTCTCTTTAAGGAATGCATCATACCTTTTCTCTAAGTAAATTGTGAAAGTCAGAATTGTATTATCTATGAGTTCTATAGATCCTCAAGTACACAGAGTGAGTATTTAGTAAGTGATAACAATGAGAATAACCTAAGAAAATATTGACTATGAAAACTGTTTTGTTCAGTCTATGAGTCATGAAAAGTCAAACTTCAAGTATCTAACACTGCCTTGTTCCTAACCAGCTTTCTGCCATGCGACCATTCCTCTTAAACATGATAGGCAAGAGAATCATCCATATCAATGGCATCCATATCAATCTGTTAGAAATAATTCATTTTCTGTGTCATGCAGACAGCCTTGTGTTCCAGAGATGCACAAAGGGCTCCCGACAGAGCATGGTCTGACTAACTCCTTCCAGCTTCATGATGGTGTCAAAGCTTCACTCACTCAGGAAAAGCCTCACTCTGAGTTACTCATTTCGATCGCTTCCTGGGCTGTAGTTCTTTTCTGTGAATTTGGTCAATGACAGTGAGTCACAACTCCCAGGCAGCCTCATGACATAACCGAGATTTTTGCATATTGTGTTTTGTGTTTTTTGTGTCCCATAATTTCTGAAAGATGCCCATCTGCATGTAAATAAGCTATTTGATACTATATTATAAAGTGGGTTTTACGTTAGGTGATGTTGGCAAATGGAAGCAGCCAGGACACAGCTTATTTAAGGTACACCGGACTCATCAGTGATCTTCAGTCATTTAGAAGTAGCAAATGCATTTTGACCATATGGAATGTTCAGCTTCTGATGGGCTTACTAGAGGGTGTAATCCCATGGTAAATCAAGAGTATCTGTCTGTCACATATAGACCCCGAGCCCACACCACCTGCTTGAATCCAGCAAGGCTTGAGATGGTTAAATCTTGGGCACCTGAACACAACTCTCTAACATACTTTTATTGTCTTCTAAGTTATGGATGCTGGCTATGGAAGCAGGTCAGTCTGTTAAGTGCTCGCACTCAAGCCTGAGGACCTGAGTCCACTCCTCATCCAGGAACTGGTAAACCTGATACTAAGGAAGTAGAAACAAGTGGATCCTTGGGGCTCCCTGACAAAGTGCCTACCTGGCTCAACGAGTTCTAGGCCATGAAAGACCCATCTCAATAAGCCAGGCAGTGACTCCTGGGGAGCATCGGAGATTGCCATCTGCCCTCCATATGAATAGACATACATATATTCACCCATGTACCCCCCCCACACACACACATATACACATCACAAATTATGTAGATCATGAACTCAGGGTTACATTAAGTTCAAAGACTCAAAATTCAGTGCTTCTGATTCCAAATCTCATGTCCCATGCTGTACACTCCAAGAGATGCATGTATAGTTTTAATGTTTATAAATATCAAACATTCTTATAGTTTGTTGTTTTAAGGCCTCAACAATGTGTTTGTGTAGCTCTTGCTATATTTGCTCAGTTTATTCAGATTTTCCTATCTGAAGTTTGATTGACTCAGAGCACACCTAGGATGACTTACAAATTCTGAACCTGTGAGTATCTAGCAGAATGCTGACACACTCACCTTGTAAGTCATGGCTATAAAAACGAACAATTAGCTGATTGAAATCACTCAGTGTAGCACATTTAACTATGCAAATATCCACTTTATCATTGCCAGGAACTCTTACACTTAGATGTTTTTAACCATCAAATTATTTCACAACTATTTTGGGAATTTAGTTCATCTTTATCAGGACATTATCAGCTCTATGTCTGTGAACATACTGTGTCTTAAGTCATGACTGGCACTGTAATAATTTATATGTGTACATCATTTCCTCTTTGGTAAAGTGGACAATAGGAACTTAATTAGGAAATTAGTTTACCCACTGCCAATAGACATATTTTGCTCTGTAATACACCCTTCATTACTTGATTTCAAAACTTTTGTCTTCCACAAAAGGAAACTGGGACCACTATGTGATCCTTAGAGATTCTACACAAATACAATCCCCAGCTGCCTTGTCAGGTTATAAAACAAAAAAAATCAGCTTAAAACAGTTCTATCACAAGATCCAGCTATACCATTCTTGGGTATATACCCCAAACCAAAAGACTTACGTCTTGTTACAAGGTATTTGTTTATTCATGTTCATTGCTGCTCTTTTCATAATAGCTACAAATTGGAAACAGACTAGATTTCCATTAAATGGTGAATAGATAATGAAAATGTGGTACGTTTACACAATAGAATATTATTTAACTGTTAAGAAAAATGAAACTACAAAATTTCCAGGTATGGATGGAGCTAGAAATAATCGTCCTGAGTGAGGTAAACCAGACCCAGAAAGACAGATGTTTCATGTTTTTTCTCATATGTGGATTCTAGTTTTTATGCTTTTTATATTCCATTCAGAATACTCACAGTATTTAGCTAGAAAAGGACCAGGGGAAAGAGGAAGATATCCCAAGGAAAAGGAACTAGAATATAATGTTATAAAGGGATAAGGAAGAAATTAGAATAAAAGAATGAAATAGGGTGGGGATGGGAGGGAAGGGTAGAGGAGGGGATGTGGGGAGGAATAACCAACACTAAAAGCCTTTTTAAAAAGCCATATGGAAAACCACTACTGTAGAAACTCCCTAAAATACATACATATATAAAAGAAGTTTAAATGGAATTACCATAAAATGACAAGACAATACCCCAACTAGATACCTTATGCTACCAATTAAAACCTCCAGTTCCAGAAATGGGTCACATCTTTTTGACTTGTTGGCCAATGGGATTCTAAAGACAACCTGCACCCCCAAATATCACAGACTGCTGCCAGTGCTATTAGTTCCCCTCCCAAACTTGATAATAAGATCTTATTGCTAAAGGCACCACATACTTATGGCAGAGAACATGGAGAAATCCAGTTGATACTCAACTAGAAGATTCACCCCTACTGGCTAGTATTCATAATTCTGGAAGGTATTACACGTGCTACCAAAGGAGAAAAGTAATCATCAGTGTCATCCAGCTGTGAACTCTGAGCTACAATAACAACCTGCCTGCAAGATATGCTTGCTAGTGCAGCAGTGGCATGAATGTACGGGAGTAACCAACCACTTTCTGAAAATCGGATTTCAGGCCCAGTCCATGAGATAGAAGCAACAGCTGAAACTGTCAATGAGGCCAAGACCCTAAGGTTATGTAGCTCAGAGGCCCTAAGGGAAAAATCACTACTTATATTTTGGTAAGTGAACATAGCAAAAAAAGAAAGACTCCTAATGACATATTGCTTATTACATAGATCTGTGTATCACTCAACCTTCATCAGAGAAGCTTCTTGCAGTAAACAGTAATTAAGATAGAAACTCTCAACTGGTCAATGTGTAGAGAATAAGAGACTTTAGAATGTTTAGTCCTAAATGGGATGTCTATGTCACACCCCTCTATTCAAGGTTCAGGCATCTTTGCAAAAATAGGGGCAGGATGATTGTAAGTCTGAAGTGGTAGATGATTTCAAGGAAATGGTGTTTTACATACACAACAGGACAGATCCACATAGGAACTCACAACGCTTTGACGACATCCACAAGGCCTGTATAAGTTCAAGCTAGAGAAAATCCCAGCATGGAGAAGGGAAAGGGAGCAGGAAGTCCTACCCCTAATCAAGGAGCTATTGGGAATTGATAGCTGCTGGGAGAGGGAGAATCAGTTTTCCTCAATGGAGTGACCATGTATCACTCATACTCCAGGGCAGGAGCCAAGCTCAGGAGCAGTGCACCAACTCAAAATGGACTCTGTTTTTTTTTTTTTCTTTTCTTCTTTTGAGAGAGACAGGGAGAGGAAGGGGGAGAGAGAGAGACATTTAAATGCCTATTAATTCACATTATAGA